GCAAGGCGATGGGATGTTGATCCAAAGTACAGAAGACCTCTTCTTTTCCCCAAGGCACAAAGTAGAACACACAAGATAAAATTGGAATTCTGCCCTCCTCTATGTTGAATAAGGACAAGCCAACAGAACACAACTATCACAGCAATCCATTTAAATGCCAGAAGCAGTAATAAATATTTCTAAGTATTATTACTAACATGCTGAACAAAATACAACTAAATACATAGTCTGCTGTTCTAACTGAAAAAACATTTTGCCTTTTGGTTTGCTTTTTCAGTAATGATTCAAGACATTGGATGCAATTCTATTCCCACTGCAGTTAAAGGGATTTCTGCCTTAATTGCAAAGAGTAACATTGGATCCCAATACAGTGACGATGACCACTTCCAACATGCTACTCTTATAATTAATTCAATCTTGTTCCTGGCTGTGCTTTGGGCAATAAAAAGCATCATCATTACAGCTATGCAGACTCCTGCCAGATCTCTGCTTCTTTCTGTAAGATACAACTGTGATGCCACATACTTAATTGAATTGTGAAGTTATAAATACCAAGGTTTGTGAAACATTTATGTGGAGAACTGTCAGCACATTTGAAAAAACACTTCATTAGCAACTGGAGCTAGCAACTGAATCAAACAACATAGTGATGCCTTGTGCAACTTTTTCTCCTACAGAAATCTCTCGTTTAGGTATGATTTCCAATTTTCTGAAAGAAAAAGCCATTTCTGCAAAACTGCAGCTTGCTGTGGAAAAATTCTGATCTCTTTAAAAACTCGAAACAGCTTCTCTCAGGAAAATAGAAGGTTTTTATTCTATTGTCCTCGAGTTAATGGACCTTTCTATCCCCTGACAGAGGTGTAGTCCACAAAAACCACTGCCTCCTGTGAACCAGGCCAGTGCACTAAATAAGAGTACAGTCCCCTCCCCCACACACACCTACTTTAGACAGGAGAGGGGAACTGGATAACATACGCTGCATCAGTCTTTACTGAAAACAAAGCCAAAAGGAACACTGAACTATGTTCTTAGACAGGAAGTCAAAGAAAATTGATCCAGTAGTGCACACATCCCTGACTCCCTGGCTTCCTTGTTTGGCTGAACTACATACATCATAAAGAGATGCAGCTGCCCTGATGTTTTTAGAAAAGAGCATGAACAGTAGTTTCTTCCTTTCTAATTTTGGTTAAAACATTTTCCCCTTGTTTCTGTGCGGTATCTGAAATTGAGCACCAAGTATATTTGGGAAATTATACAGGATTTAAAAAAACAAAAAACACTGAACAACCAAAACCACCCCCCAAAAAAACCAAACAAACACCAAAAAACTCACACAAACAAAAAAAAATCCACACAGAACCCCACACAACCCTACACCCAAGAAACCACTTCTCCATTTACCTTAAAACAGCTCTTTTGCAACTGAGGATATAGATCTTCCTTAGGAATTTCAGTATAGGAGACCCAACTGTTGCTAAACAAATGCTAACAGCTTCTTCTGATGCATGAGCATGCTTACAACATATGAATGAGTATGCTTTTTTGCAATTTGCAAATTCAGCACTTAACATTGTCTCAAAAACTCTGCCCTTTGCATTCTTACTAGTATCAGCTAAACAAGGAAACTAATATTCCCGAATTAATAACAGCTTGTAGTCACAGCAGAATTTACGGTGACATCTATTGCTGTTCTATATTTATGGCCTTATTGCAGTCAATATTAGTATTCTGATCATCACTCCATATTTAATTGTAGATGGTAATGTCAGTTATGTTTATCTTAAGTTATACTATATTTGAATTGCATTGCATCTCATTTTCTGTGATGCTGTCAGATATTTGGTTTTTGGATGGTTCTCAAGTATATAATTAAAATTTCAGATAATTTGGGTGTACAGTGTGCATCCCACAACTATCAATATACACTGTTATCTATTCAAAGTATGACACAGGTATGTTTCACGTATTCATTTTGCTGCACAGTGCCTTCATGTGCAAACTCATCTGGAGCTCAAACATTTGATATTGAGCTGACCAAGAACAGCTAAATATTCACAGAATATTCTTCCATTTACTAACTTTTGCTACAAATTGCATCCATATTGTTAATTTTCAGCTGCTAAGACTTTTGGTGTGTGGTTCGATACTTGGTTATTTAGTTAAATATATCACAGTGTGCTGTTTTTCAATATATGAAAAAATAAGAGAACTTAGATTGAGGCCACCTTGGAGAAAGGGAAAACACAACAGGTTTTTTAGATCATAAAGCTGAACATTGCAGGTTAAAAGATTCCCTGTTTTCTCCTTAAAACACTTGTATCCAGAATATGTGAAAGATGAAGCAACTGCCATTACAGCAGACATGTCAACTCATCTTTTATTCAACCAGAGTTCTAATTCAACTGATAAGCATGATGAAATACTAGTCTGTGTCTCTTAGAAGGTTAGATTGTAATATAACAATGTGTTGCACATTATATTCTGCTGTGCTGAACTAATAAATCATACAGTGGAAATTCCCAGCAAGTCCAAATTATCTAGCTATTTTAATGCATCTCTACTGTTTTCAGAGAGCTACAAAGAGTTATCAGGAATGAAAAAATCCATTATTTCCCTTACGTAATAGATACATATTGCACAAAAGAGAATTGGAAACAAATAATAGGAATAAAAAGGAAACAGCATTGTAGGAGAACTCTCCAGTCTGTTACTTTACTGGAGCTATAAATTTTTCTTCTGACTTCAAGTATGATATGCACCAGTGGTCCATTCATTTTCTTTACTACAAGCATTTATATCACCCAAGTGATCTGTGAGGTTTGGTGTCAATATTTTTATGAAGCCACTTATTAGGAAATAATATGCCATTTTGAGTAAAATAGGTTAGTTTCTCTTACTCAGATTTTCACAGTATCTCTCTTACTAAGAATAGCATTTGTTTGTCTTGGCAACGTAATGCATCTTATTAAAACACTGGTACAGAGATATACTTAGATGCAACAGTACACATCCATAGGTGTTCACTTACATAGTTCCAGTTTGATACAAAGAAATAAGAAATTTGGACAATTACTGAGAAAAGAAAAAAAAAACATCTCCTTCTAACAAATCAGAATTTATCACAAAAAAAAAATAAAATAAAATCAGCACACATCAAAACAACTTCATCACTGGTGCTTAAACGTTTACCACTAGAAAGGCTGACTATGTGGAAAACCAGGCAGAGACTTGTGGAAAGCAGACAGTTCAATTAAATCTACTGAAATATAATTATTTTTCAGCAGCATTAAATCTTTTTCTTTTAATATAGGAAGTACAGTTAAGCAAAAATATTCAGTGCTTCTAAAAAATTGGACCATTTTTAAAACAAATAAGAGTTGTCTGCAGAAACAGATTTTCTTTTTACACTGAACCCTGCTTTTTAAAGTCATTATTAGAAATTCTTAGTTACAGAAGTTAAATGTAGGCTGATTTATTTTCATACCTAGACTTGAGATCTTGAGAAGCTGTTATAAAAAGCTAAAAAAATTCTGCAGCCAATTACCACTACAGATAGGAAAGATTCAGAATTATTCATACTTTCTAGAGCTTGAAACCACAAAAGCCACTGCAGATTTTACAGGGTAGAAGGCAAGTAGTCATTAAATCCTCACTTCACTCATACCTCTGTAAACTATGAAAAATAATACAAAAACCTCTAAGACATGGCTAGCCATGCAGTTTGTCTGCATTTCATTCTTCACTTATGAGAAATGTAAGGCTGTGCTCCATTAAAAAAAAATTAGAAAGCAATATAACTTGGGTTATTATAGCTCAAATATAATTTGCTTTCCATTAAAATAATTTTAACTATGCTTTTTAAAATAGGAACTTACAGCCACAGTGACTCTCAGTCATTACTCATGACTCTGTTTTCCTCATTAAAATATTGAATTACATGAGTAACACCTCTATGTTCTAGGGAACAGAAAAAATTGATAACTCTTTCTGACTAAAGGAACACTGCGATTCCCTTAGGAACCACCTTGTATTTTTTCTCCCTATTAATACTTGTTGACTTGTCACCTATTTCTATACAGTATAGGCCAATTGCAGGGCAGAGGATAACTCTCTCTGTCACAGTGTTACCAAAAGCAGTATTCTGTATATAGCACAGCTGGGTGAAATAAATTTCTAAAGCAGACTATGATGCTAAAAATAGCAACTCATTTTTTTCTAGTAGCCACAGACAAGAGAGAGAATGTCTTTGTTTTTTACTTTAAGTTCTCTTGTAGCTTATCTTGGCTATTTTTCTCTCTTGGTTGATCTTTGAGAACCATCACATAGGCACCACTTTCAGTTGTTAGCTTTTTTCCAGGGTGGCATGACAGTTCTACAAAAGCAGCTTTAAAACCTGGTGAAAATATAAAGGAAAGCAGGAAGGAAAGAAGATAATGATGTATAATTGGAATTTCTGTTCCATCTGTGCTGCAGACTGCATAGGCTCTGCTGAATCACACAGGAGATACAGAGGATACCAAGTGAAGCACTGAGGATTTAACTTGTATCAGCTGTGTATGAAAGCTTTTCTACCTATAAGTTGCTTGAAATAGGACAGGCTAGAAAACAGATAAAAACATAAGAACATATGAACACAAGAATACTGTGGGTTTTTTTCCCCCTCACCCAATTCCCACCTGTTCTGTAGTTCTGTGTACACATATAATAGGAACAAACAGCAGGGATTTAACTTCCCTTTAATCATCTGATTCTAACTCAATTCTATTCAAATTGTATATTCAAAAACTTGCCTCCTTAGGGTTCATGCTTCTCCTTACCACTATTTAAATTATAAACCACCTCTTCAGCAGAGCACAGTATACACCCCACTGCACTACTTGGTAGCTCCAGGGTTGACCAGTGCAGTCAGAAAAGCAAAAGCAGCTGTCCTGAACCCCTCCTAGTTACCTGCACTGGGGGAAAAAGACTGTGCCTTAGACATACCACCTCTTGACTCTGTCATGAGTAACCATCATCTTGCAGGCATAGAAATTCTTGCAAGTTGGTGCTCAGAACTGATGTAACTATCCTGTTGTGTATGGCAGCGGATCATCAAATCATGGCATTTCCTCCATACAAAACAACTGCTACAGACCCAGGGCAAGCAAGAACAATGTTTTCATGAACTTCTTTTACCAATGAGAAGCATGTAGTTTACAGCTCTGCTAAATGCAACATTTCAGGCAGCAAGTCTTTTTGAAAGGTAACAACTCTGCTTTGATTTAGTAGTAACAATAAAATCTTAAGAAGCCACTGGAGATGAAGAGAGAAAAATCACATCAGACAGTTTTTGCGTTATTTCTTCAAAAATTGGTGTCCAGGCTAGGATTTTTGCAAATGATAGAGGTAAGACTTTCCCTTACATAAAAGCAAATCTTACCCCTGACCATTTTTTTCAATAATATCTGTAATTTTGCTGCACTTCTATTATAAAAAAAGTGTGACAAAATGGCCTGCTGCTTGAAAAAGGGGCTGGGAGAGGAGAAAGACAAAACTAATAGTCCATACACTGCTGTTCCAGTCTTTTAAGATCTCCATCAACTAAAAAGTACATGGGTTTTTCCACTTCAAAAAACTACCTTTAAAAATCACCAAAGTCCCAGAAAAGCAGACGTGCAAGAGTTAATCAGACCAGAAGCCTTTTAGAGCAATTTGCTTTCAGATTAAATAAAAGCTAAAGCACTGTGTAAATGGTATTTCACCTCAGATATGACATGATAGTCAAGTGAAGACACAGCACTCTCTAAGCAGTGATACCTTATTGCCAAGGACGGAAAGCACCACACTCCTCGGGCTAAGGTCATTACATCTAGCAGCTCCAGAAGGTGCAGAATAGGAAGTTCTCTGTTATATGTTCTGAGGTAGTATTTACTCTTTCTCAGAAGTTCTGTGGACTTCTGGCCTTTCTGGATTGTGGGGGAATCTTTCAAGATGGAGTGAATATCGAAAAAATGTGTCTAAAGAATGTCTTCAGTGGTATGCAGTGCTGTTTGGCTGAGGCCAGCTAAACCATGCTCTTCTCACATTAGAGGAAAACAAACAAACAAACCCCACAAAAAAACCCCAAACAACAACAAAACAAAACACACCCTACCAAAAAGGTGCAAGTGGGAGCCACTGACTGGAGACCCAAAGGTACTGTGTTTTCCCTCTGGCTCAAGAGGTTTTGAAAGCCCACAGTGGTCACTGCCATTGGTGAGTAGTGTCAAGTTCAACATTAACACAAAGAAGTTGCAACATACAATCATGCTTAGTGACATCATTATCTTATCAATCCTTACACTTCCTAATGCTACTGATACTTAGTTACTAAAAATTAACTTCTGTTAATCAGTATGCAAAATACAAAAAACTCTTCTTATTTCTTCCCTAGGACTATACCCTGACCATGTACTTCCAGCAGTCCTGGAGGGATAAAAGGCTCTCTTATTCTGGAATACCTTTGAATCTAACTCTGGACAACAGAGTGGCTGACCAGCTCTGGGTGCCGGACACATATTTCCTAAATGACAAGAAGTCGTTTGTCCATGGGGTGACAGTGAAAAACCAAATGATTCGACTCCATCCAGATGGGACAGTTCTTTATGGCCTAAGGTACGTTGGGGTTCTTTTAATCAGCTAAATGGCTGTCCTGGAAGAGTGCAAGTTGTGATTGGGAAGTTTGGTTAGTATCAATGCTTCTGTCCTCTCCTTTTTCCTGGTTTCCCAGTGCAGCTCTGTGAGTTAGCAAATAATCTAGATAAAATAGATCTAGAGATCACCACAATACATGCAAGAACTTTCTACAGGGTATCAAAATTACCTTTAATAGCTATAGCCATAACTTTCTCTATAATTACTCAAAGTCCTTTAGAACAATATAAAATTTAAACTCAGGAGAAATCTGAAGAAATGCAGCCAACATTTGGTAGTGAATAGAAAGAAAACATTTGTTACATTTCCATGAGTTAAAGATTAACTATATACAGCTTGTTTTTAACTTGCCTTATTTTGCAACACAACTGCTTCTTCATGCAGTGCAACCTATATTGACTCCTGTAGATAAAAATATATTCTAATATCTGAACAGGCATAATCTAATGATGAGGCATACAAATCTAAAATTAAAACTAAGCCAAGTTACTTATTGAGATTGCTGCATAGCCTGTGGAGGTTTTGCATTATTTTTAAAGGTAAGGCAGCTTTGCTTGGAAGAAAACCTTGCCTGCCTTAAACAACCTTTGATCACTCAACAGTGAAGAAAATGTCTGGAGAACATAAACCAGAAGCATACTTCAGTTAATCAGAAAAAAGTCATAAAGCATAAAACCTAAATGAAATACCTCAAAATTGTACCCAAGGTGAAAAAAAAAAAGAAAACAACAAAAAAACACACCACCACAAACCAAGAAAAAAACCAAACAAAACACCACCACAAAAAACAACAACCCAAACTGCTGCAGCAATTCAAAATGAAAATAATATTTGGGGACAATAATTTAGAGCTTGTTGAAAAAAAAGTTTTAAATTACCTCTGAGCTTGTAAAAAAAAATCTTCTAAATCACAACACTACCCATGCACTCAGAGAAAGCCTTCCAACCCATCAATTCAAGGTTCACAAGAAACAAACAAAAAAAATTGTTAAATTATATTTTGGTTCATCGTGTTTTCTTTTGAACTTGTCAGGTTTGCAGGCAGTGCATCAGTTGCTACCAGTAACCATACAGGCACTTGATGCAGTCATATCTGTTCTGGTACTGAAAAACTGCTATTTCAATTGTGGGGAAAAAAACCCATGAGGAAATAGTTGGTAGACTACAGGCCATCATTATCATCTACTGAACAGAGCATTTGAAAAATACAGCTTTACCATTACCATCAGACCTCTTACAGTTTCTCTCAATCAAACTGTCTCCTGAAAATCAGCTTTGCAGGGCAGCTATCATAAGAGGACTTTTTAGCCTAAAAACTGATTTTATTTTTTTAAGCCTAGCAACTAAATTTGCTTTCATTCCACAATGGCAAGAATGAGAATTAGGGCCAAGCAGTCCCTCACAAGCAGTTGTATACAAAATAAGATACACCAAGAAATGTATGCCATGCACATGCATTCACACACTAACCATGCACCTGGTATTAATAAATGTCTTCTGCAGAAATAGCAAAAGAAGCTGTGACACATCTGGTGAACCTGCTGCAAGTCCTCTCATGTTGCTTTATCCACAAAGCAGCAGCCTGGCCAAGAAGCTGTGACCTTGCCCCAGCATAACATCTGTGCTCTTCTTCTCAGGGGTGGTCAGGAAAACCTCCAGTGCAACAGCAAAGATAGACCCTCACATAACGAGGTTGCAAGTTCCTATGATTACATAACCATTCCCATTTGAATGGTTAAGCAGCAACTCTGCAACAGCTGCAGCTCTACAACTTAACACCCCAATCAATACCTCGGTGCTCTAGTTAGGAAAAGCACACCAACCAACCAAAAAACCCACACACATATAAAAGACAACCTATATTACACACAGCTGCACTCTAGTACTGGGCCATGCCCTTCTCCACCCTCACACCCCTGCCTCAGCTCTTAACTCACAATAGCACAGGAGCAACCTGGGGCTCTCCCAGGCTTCTGGGCTTCCCCACCTTCTCACTGCGGAGAAAGTTCCAGGGGCTTAAGATTCAGGAGGACCAAATATTCCCAGATGTGTCCATCTTCACCAACATGCAGAAGGTGACGCTCAAGATGTTCAGGTGTTTTTCACAGATGAAGCCAATGTGCCACATTTTCTTCAAGGACAGGCAGCTGTTTAGACAAATCTGGTGAGCAGACTTCCTGCCAGTTGCCAGTGAAAACACACATAGTGTCCCCATCCCACAGGAAATGTTTGATGAGAGATGAAGATACTAAACAAGCAGAAAAAAAGAATGAACTTAGACATTGAAACAGGTTTCATAAAACAGATGGCAATTATCCCACTAAGTTTGAATCTATTGGTCATCACTTTCCTCAAGGTAATAAATGTGCTTCTCTCAGCCTATAGATTACCTTTAGATCATACAAACAGCAATTTCTTCACATACTAGATGGCACATATACCTCATAAAAAAATAAAACATCAGAAAATACCACAGAAAATGCAGTGGTGCCTGTTGAAAATTTGAGCACAGATCCAATTTAATCTTAGTAGTAGAGAAGAAACTTTGCTATGTATTAGCTTACAGTTAGCTTCTATGAAGTGGAGAGTATAAAGACAATATTGTCAAACCTCTCACAGAGATGCAGTGACCTGTGAGTTTCACTTTCATTACTGAAGACACAGCATCTGCCTGGAATGACTCAAACAAGAGAGACAACACCACACCAGGGTCTGATCTTCCAAGAAATTATGCAGATCCTTAAACCATATCTCAAGGATTATTTAAATTCCCCCATGCCTCCTATTCCCCACACAATTTTTTTATTTTCAGTCCAGAGATAAATTTTTCTTTGCAGGCTCAGATACGAAATTTTACTGCCTTCTTTAAACAGAAATTGGAACAATCACAGCAGCTCTAAATAACCTGCTTTGCTTGCATCCATGTACTCAGCAGTTTGGCATTGATGCAATGTTCAGACTCAGTGGAGTTAAGGAGAAATAAAACAAGGTTAATTTTCAGGCTTTACAGATGAATAAACAAGGGAAATATGCATTGAATACACCAGACTGGTTTTAGAGTGTATAAAAAAGTACTACCACTTTACTATGTCTCCATTACAGTGTTATTTCTATGATCAAGAAACAGTCCTTTTAACCACTAGTTCCAGTAACTTTCAGCTGCTTTATCCCCACAGTTTAAAAAAACACAGTTTGTGCACATGAACTTGTACAGGCACAGAATAGCCCTAAACTTCCTGCCCTCTAAAATTGTGTATTGCTGTTGTGTCTTTTACTGCAAGTGCTACATCTGCTAATTATTCAGTGGTGAATAATGTCTGACGTTACTAACCAAATAACTGATCCTGTTGCCCAATCAACTAAACACACAAAAATATTTAACTCCACATTAATATTTCCAATGAATTACATCTAAAATATGCCAGGGAAGTTAAGTGTCACTGTTAAGTATTGTGTACGTGAAGCGTGTGTTCCTTCAGTTTCTCTCAAGTACTCCCACCAGCAGCTGTTACTATTTTCTGTCACGTAGCCACCTGCTTCCCCAGAATGAAAAAAAACCACTTGAGTCAATGTACAAACCGGCAGCACTGAGCAAAGTACAGCTGGTAAAATAGCGGAATCTTTGTTTTCTCCCCCATTTTTACTAAGTCATTAGATCCCATTAAGTATAATGCCTTTGCCACTAGCAGTATGTCTCATTACTTTTATTGCCTTTTCAGGCAAGATGCTTGTCCTGGTTTGAGCCAGGATGAAGCCAATTTTTCTTTTTACTGATTTTTTTTTCCTTCAGTAAGCTTTCTTGTAACTAGCAACAGTGTGTTCTGCTAGGCTGATAAGACAGAGGAATGTTTTTCTAACTACTGAGACTTCAAGGCCGCACCTGCACTCTGCCGGCTCAGACACTATGGGGAGATCTGTGACCCCCCCGTAGGAGGCTGAGTTAGACGGACAGCAAAATTGGCCAAAGATATTCCATTCCATATATCTACGTAAGCTCAGAGGAAGGTCAGAAATCACAGAAGACAACTTCCTTCCTTCTTCTTCTTCCCTTTGGTCCATGGCCGGCGTCCGGGGAGGACTCTGTTCATCCATCATCGTCGATCCTCAGGCTTGATCTCTCGTGACCCCCATAACTCTCTGCTTTCTCCAGCAGCAGCTTCGGGATTCCTCGGGACTCTTCCCAGTTCAGGGAAGTGCTGTGGGAGTTGCTGGGGTGGGGGGAGGCGAGAGGCTTTTGCCCATACCTGAATATGTATCTGTATATAATTGTATATATATTTTCTTGTATGATTCATTAGTGTTTTAATTAAAGCTGTGTAGTTTAGTTTTACAATCCAGCCAAGTCTCTCTCTTTTTCTCTCTCTCCTTCCCTACGTGGGTTGGGGGGAGAGGAGATGGAGAGCATTGTTGTCGGCCCTGAGTCAAACTGTGACAACAATTTAGTGGCGTCCAACCTGGGGCTCGAACCCACGACCCTGGGATTTAGAGTCCCATGCTCTACCGACTGAGCTAGAAAAAGCTCACCTTTGTGTTCCCAGTCCAAGTCTACTTGGAACACTTGAGCAGCCTCATCTGCTCATTGGTTGTGTCGATGTTCCTCAGTGGCTTGACTCAGAGGCACATGTGCATCCACATGATGCACTTTTACCTCCAGTTTCTCCATCCGAGCTGCAATGTCTTTCCACAGGTCAGCAACCCAGATAGGTTTACCCTTTCGCTGCCAGTTGTTCTGCTGCCACTGTTTTAGCCAACCCCACAAGGCATTTGCTGCCATCCACGAGTCAGTGTAGAGATAGAGTCTTGGCCACCCCTCTCGCTCAGCAATGTCCAAAGCCAGCTGGATGGCTTTTACCTCTGCAAACTGACTTGATTCACCTTCTCCTTCAGCTGCTTGTGCAACCAGTCCTGTAGGACTCCACACGGCAGCTTTCCACTTCCG